TTCTATTTATCCCAATATACATGTCTCCTTTCTTTTCTATTTCTACAGCGGTACACACTGATTTTGTAAACGGTAGCCTGTGGGCTGACACATTGAAAAAAAAATGAAAGAAATATAGTATTCAGTAAAAGTAGCAAATGCCGACACCTCGTTGCTTTAACAGAAAAAGTTGATTTTTTTTCTTGAAAATGCAGTCGTGGTTTTCTCGTGGTTATCTTTTGTTGGCATTCTCTCTCTTAATAAACTTAAATATGGTTTCTATAACATTTATTATATATTACATCCGTCCATTTCTTTTTGGGCAGTGAAAAACAATTATTTGATGTTCAGCATATCTATTTTCATGCTTGTATATTTATAAAAAGACCTAGAATAGACAACTTCCATGGCGAAGGATTTTAAAGTAGAATTCAATGACGCTTGTCGCTTCATGGTCCATGTAATTATCGATATGTCAGAAATCATGCCAATTCTAGCATTTTCTTTATCGTAGTTTCATAGTCTTGTTTTCTGTTCGTCACACCCGCTTTCTCTTGCTTAAATTTTTTCGTATAATGAGAGTTTGATTCCCAAATGAATTGTCTGTTATTATTTGGCAAATACGTGAATATACTTGATGTCATGAGAATGTCTCTGTATATATATATGTGTGTGTGTATTTGTGTGTGTGTGTATTTGTGTGTGTGTGTCTGTATGCATGTATATATATATATATATATATATATATATATATATATATATATATATATATATAAATCTATATCTGTATATATATATATATATATTCGCAAATATGTGTATATCTGTGTATATATATATATATATACAAATCTATATCTATCTATCTATCTATATATATATATATATATATATATATATATATATATATTTGTATCTGTGTGTGTGCATGCATGTATGTATATATATATATATATATATATATATATATATATATATATATATATATATATACACAAATCTACGAGCCAAATTCTAGAGGAGCAATTTACTCTATCACCTACAATGATTGCCAGAAAAAGTATATTTTATAAGAAAGAATATGTTGGATAAAACTCAAGTAAATTTTTGGAATCGGTTTCATACAAGGCAGAATTTATACTAAGGCACAAGCAGTTACTGGATGCGAAAGTATCAGAAATAGGAACATTAATAATGAGCTGGAAGAGAAACGAGTAACCAGGAGGACAGCAGATAGTGATTGACGTTGCATTTAAATCTTTGGAGATTAAAGTTTGCTGGAAAGCATGGAGCCAGAAGAGATTTCTACAAGCGAAATGTTCGCAAAAATAAACTGTTGCATAGAATTTTGGGCTTGATTTAGCTACCTCAACTGTAAAGTGATGATATACATATATATATATATATATATATATATATATATATATATATATATATATATATATATATATATATATATATACACACACACACAAAATGATAGAAAAAATGATGGAGGAAAATCCACTCTTCATAGGATTTACTTTGTAAAAAGTGCCCAATAGAATGTATTATTATATTTTTTGTAAGCGATTATAATAAAAAAAATTGAAATCGCTACACAAAAGCTTCCATGTTTCAATAATATGATTGTATTTCTTCAAGCGATGATAATACAATAATAGTATTGAAACATGAAAGTTTTAACCGATCTTCTTAGCACTTTGCGAGCCGATATTATATCGTTTGTTGCCTCTCGAAATTCAGCAGTCACGTTAGGACAGGTTTTATCCATATCACCGAGAGATACCCTCTTTAGCATTCTGTCTTCCTATGAGTTTGCACACTTTTCCGACTTTGACCATCACAATTTTTGAAAGAATTGGTTGCAATATATTTTAATTGGTTGCTTGTACACCATTTCTTGAGCATTTCACTTTTCTTGCTATTTCGATTAACCTTCTTTGCAACCGGTGAGAGATAATATATATATATATATATATATATATATATATATATATATATATCGTCAAGACATTGACGATTGCACCTAGCAGGAAACAGCCTTTCGCCTCTGAGTGTTGACTTCAACGTCCACTTTTCTATTTATATTTACATACGCTCTATCCCTGATATTGATATTGAGCACTTTACCCCATAAATATAGCAAACCCTAAAACTATATTTCTGATATATATATATATATAAAAATAATAACATAATCAAGATGTTCAAATTCCACACTATTTCGAACAAAAGGCTAGGAAGGAAGCCTCCATTAATATTGGAAATAACGATAACCGTTAATGTCCTTAAAAGATCTATTTTCCTTAAAAATAATTGTATTAATTGAAATAATTTTTATAACTTTCAACGGTAGTTCACACTGGCTACTGAGCCAATGGATGTTAATATTACTATTATCAGAACGATTATAAAACCGACGTTTTTCATTTTATTCCTTCGTTAACGGAAGCCTTGACAAAGACTGATATATATTTCCGTTGGGTTGGTACAAGGAAACCTTTCTAAATGATTTCAATCCGCATATTTTAGTAATTAAATATTTCTTTAGTGTCTATAAATATTAATTTCTTTTTTTCTTTATTAATCCTAACAAGAACAGCGAAAACCTTTAAGGGACTAATAGAAAAACAAACTGACATACGATTAAAAGATTAGGATCGTATTCTAACAAATTTAGAAATAAAATTCAGTTTGTATGAATAAAACGAATAAAATTGTTCACATATTTGAAGAAGCAAAAGAAATGGAAATGGCTTTAAAAAGAAAATGGTTAGTCTTAGACCATATATATATATATATATATATATATATATATATATATATATATATATATATATATATACTGTTTATAAGTTATTTTTATAGATACATTTATTTAAGTAAATGTTCTGTTTATAATAAACAGTATTAATTACATTTGCCAGCGTGAATGTCCGGTAAATTTCGTAGAAAATATGTGTTGTCCAACAGTAATCGAACCTGTGTCTTACACGGAACCGCCATTTAAATTGACATACGATACCACGCATCTACAGAGGAAGCGTCTGGTTATAAAAGTCCAAATTACTGTTTTTGAACAACAAATTTACCACGATAACAGTAATTTGGACTTTGCTAACCAGACGCTTTCTCTATATCTGAGTGGTATAGCACGTCAGATCAAATGACGATTCACTCTCAGCCTTTCATATATATATATATATATATATATATATATATATATATATATATATAGATCTGTGTGTGTGTGTGTGTTACTAACAAATTACACTTATGACATAACCGGTAACATTTCATTTGCATAAAAGATTTTAAAAGCATAGTTTAATGACTATTTCATCTGTTTTATTTAGTTTTAATTTATATTTTTAAAATTCCAAAGAATAAACAATGTTTGCATCGGTGAAGTTCCTTCTTAAATTCTTTCTTTGTATGGAAATAATTTATGCCTGACAAAATTATGTAGTAAGCGAAAAACATCAGATTTCTTACATTTAAAGAGAAAATAATATATATGTTATCTTGACTCCTAAAAATAAATTATTATTTTTAGAAGTGGACATAATGTAAATCATTTTAAAAAGTATAAAAAAATAGAATAGAATATTATCAACTTACGCCAAACAAGGATAGTTACGATCTTATTCCCTGCAGCATTCGTAGTAACCATTGTTGTCGTCTGAGATTTCACATGGATACTATTAGTCAAGTGGAGTGTAATAATGAATAATGTTTACAGAATTATCTATATAATTCAAAATAATGTTTAATTAGATGTTCATAAAACTGTACCGAATTCAGCAAACTTATTCTTTTTACTTGTTTAATTAAACAGGTGGGTAAAATAGTAATTTTGTTGAATTAATTGGTATTACTATTGAAAGAATTAGAAATATATTACAATGATTCTCTCAGTAATAATGTTACGTATCTATGGCTAGAATTGATAATTCCAATTAACTTAGTATAATAACAAAAGAAACTTTAGAAAACAGAGATCTTACTGATAATTTTGTTGATACAGAAAATTTGCAGTGGTAACAGAACTTTTCTTTGTCCGTAGGTCGAGTATTCAGCTAGTAAAAATATATGCAGCTAGTATCATTTACGTAGTGACATTAAGATAACGCACTGAAATAGATATTTATCATAGCATTTTTCTACAGTTGATTGATTTTATTGGGTTATCACACAAATTCGTTCTCTTTTACCAATGCTTTTTGAATTAAAAACTCAACTAACAAGTAAGTCTATTTTTTCCATAAACGTTTGTTTATCGTTTTATATTATTGATTGACTTGCTAAAAATTTTGATAAAGATTAAAATGAATGGGAGAAAATGAATTTATTTGATAACCCAATATATACAAAGATCAAAGTAGCAGATATTTTGACTACCATTCCACAAGTACCAAATTATAAAATCATCATTATTACGCACGTTTTGCATTTTGGAAATGGCTCATCTTCAGAAACGTCACCATAACAATACTAGTATATGACATTTTAGAAAATGGAATGAAATCATCTGAGAAAAAGGGTGAAGCAGTTATGATTTATCATGTTTCTCGTAAGTACATCAACATATGGAGCAGAAATTCAGTTTAATAAGTTTATTTGATGAAGTGATGATTGAGATGCTTTTTTTTAAAATCAATTCACCCAAAGTAAGGCGAAAATGCCACTAAGACACAAAGAGTGAAAGAGAATGAAAAGTCTTTAGAAGGAAACTGAAACTCAATCCTAAAGAGAAAACATGGGATAAATCAAAATTGCCCCTGTACAAAAGACCTAGGATGAGTGTGAACCAAACGATAAACGAACGCATCTACGCCTATTGAAAAAAAGTATAAGTATTAAATAAAATTTCGGAGTTTATTCAGTGAAGTTAGAAGTATAGAGTCGAAATAGACTTTAGATCAAATCAGAACACCAAACCTAAGTTGGACAAAGGAATAAATCTCTACTCCTGTTCAAAAGTCCGGGGAGGAGTGTGAATCTTTTACAATTTTCACAGACTGAATATTAATGAAATCAGTGACAATTTAGCTACTAAACCATCGACGAGATAGATATAAACAGAATGAGATAGATAGATCGAGAGAGAGAGAGATGAAGGGATAGATAGATAGATAGCATGAGATAGATAGATTATAATATGACTGACAGAAAGAGAGAGAAAGAAAGATAGTGCATGTGTGTGTGTGCGCGCGTGTGTGTATATATGTGAGTGCGGGTGCGTGCCCGCGCGAGTGTATGTGTGAGTTTAATCTGTTTATTTGCCGGTTGATACCACGACGTCTATGGAATGTTACGTTCTTTCGGTTTTTTTTCTGCTTGAAAACAAGGAACGCAGTCTGTTGCTCGTAGGATGGATAGATCCACAGATCAGTGACAATTGCCCGGGATTGGAACACTTGTTGGTCGTCGATTCCGCAATAATATACATACACATACATATGTATATCGCTATTTTTTACCACACACACACACACACACACAGATCTTAATATACGCGCGCCACCGCGTGCAGACAAAAAAGGATGTGCACAATGGAAAAGATAGGTGAATATGCATCTGCATACATCTCTATAATTTATCAATATTTTTTTATGCAAAGCAATTCAGTTTGCGATCCAACTTGGCATTGAAGCTTCTATTTAATCAGGTAATGGCATCTTCGAGGAATATAAAAGAAATGCTAATTCTTTGTCGATATCTCTCCTGTCTCCTAATCTTTATTTTCTTCTCGTTTTAATTTTTTTTTCAAATTCATTTCTGTATTTTTTTTACCAATCTCTATATTGGCTTTCATTTCGTTTCTGTCTGAACATTAGCAGTCTCTCTCTCTCTCTCTCTCCTCTCTCTCTCTCTCTCTCTCTCTCTCTCTCTCTCTCTCTCTCTTCCCTACCTTGGGGAGTATTTTTTTCTTTATTTCTTTTCCGTTTATCACAATCTTCGTGTCTCCACGAAACGTTTATTGACGGACTTTGAAGCTGATTATAATGGATTCCAGTCGAGACTTTAGTTTAAAGTTCCAGATTTGTAAAACCACAAACTTTGACTAGATTATATTAGCTGATGAATGTTTGTCTCCCCTGTTTGTTTACTTTGATAGAGGAGTGATGTGGAATGCTTATATAAATGCGCTTAAAAGAAGCTTTAACTGGCGACAGACTTCATAAGATAATTAGGTTGCTAGACTAGAGAATAAGCATTTGAAATGCTTGATTTGCTGGATGTTAAACTGAGATGAAAGGCAACCCTGATGCAGTCTGTCAACAAAGAAAGAAAGAAAGAAAGAAAGGAAGAAAGAAAGAAGGAAAGAAACATTATAGTCAAGGAGAGAAAGACAAATAGAAAGAAAACAAAAATACGAGGCAAAGTCAAAAATTATCCGCAATTTCGCCATAAGATAAAATACATCAAGAGTGCGTATAATTTTTGACTTACCCTTGTAAAAAAAGATTATGAAAGAAAGAAAGAAAGAAAGAAAGAAAGAAAGAAAGAAAGAAAGAAAAATTATAGTCAAGGAGAGAAAGACAAATAGAAAGAAAACAAAAAATACGAGGCAAAAGTCAAAATTATCCGCAATTTCGCCATAAGATAAAATACATCAAGAGTGCGTATAATTTTTTGACTTACCCTTGTAAAAAAAAAGATTATGAAAGAAAGAAAGAAAGAAAGAAAGAAAGAAAGAAAGAAAGAAAGAAAAATTTATAGTCAAAAGAGAGAAAGACAAATAGAAAGAAAACAAAAAATACGAGGCAAAGTCAAAAATTATCCGCAATTTCGCCATAAGATAAAATACATCAAGAGTGCGTATAATTTTTGACTTACCCTTGTAAAAAAAGATTATGAAAGAAAGAAAGAAAGAAAGAAAGAAAGAAAGAAAGAAAGAAAGAAAGAGAAAGAAAATAGAAAGGGAGAAAAAGAAGTAAAAAAAAAGAAACAGAAAAATTGAAAGAAAATAAAAAGAAAAAAGAGAATGAAAAATAAGAAAGAAAGAAAGAAAGAAAGAAAGAGAGAGAAAATAGAGAGAAAGGAAAAGAAACAGAAAGAATCAGAAAGATAGTAAAGGTAAGACGAAGAACATAAAGAGAAAAAGTATCTAGCATCAATAATAAAAAAGACAGAAAAAATAGAAAAACGAAAGAAAAAAAGAAAGCGAGATAGTGACAGGAATATACCTCTTTGAAGTCTTGAGAACATCGTGATAGAAATGTACTGTCGATAGATTATATCCATGTAAAATTCTAACGCGGTGTCCCATCAGCATGTAGGCGGTTATGTATCTTTTCTTGATTATCTGTAAAATGACATGACGTCTTCAGAAAGGTCGTGGAGTGCTTACCTGTTCCCTTTCCCTGCGTTTGGAAATCGCTGCAGTCTTGCTCTTAGATTGGCTACCACCTTCGAGTTCTAATTCTTACTCAATATCCATTAAACCATCACCATTACTTCTGAGCCAATATCTATTAAACCACCACCATTAAACCGCCGCTATCCATTACTCCACCGCATACGATAAATTAATGGATAGCGGCTCGGATTGAGGAATCGGAGGTCCGAGTTCGAATACCATCCGTATCCATTGTATTCACTTACGTGCTAATAACCTTGGAAAAAATATAAATCATTTTTTCTCTGCACTTCCACCAGCTATTGGTAAATAGCAGGACAGATCTGGTTCTATAGACTTCGATGGCAACTCGCCTACCTTAGAAAGAAATGGCAACCTACTGCAGGGAAAAACTGACTGATATCAAAACTTTTAAGCGGGCAGCCATCTAGGTACTACCTAGGCTCGACTTAACTTTGGCGATCGTCCGGTGTCATACACGCTTGGACAATCATGTTTCTTTCGATTTATGACTGACTAGACAGAAGAGTTCCCGCAGTAGTCTGCCGTTTTATTTCTCTGATAGATTGGTTCCCAACTTTCCTGCTATTGCACTCCCAGATAGGGGAGGGATGGATTCATACTTTTCCCAGGGATATTTGCGCATAAGTTAATCTAACGGACCCAACTGGAGTTCGAACACGGCTCTCCGATTACTCATTCCAAGTCGGTATCCATTATAATTCACAGCAACACCGCATTACTTTATTGAATTCATTGAGCGCGCTGGTTGCCATTACACTAGACCTTTATCGCTTATTGTTATTAATGAATATGTCAGTTTTTTCTTCTGTGCTATGATTTCAATATTATTTTGTCGTTTACATGATTATTGACACGTAATCTCTCGCAACATTTATTATTTAATGACCTGACATCATTCGCATAATTATACACTGCTGGGCAACGTAGACCAATTCACAATCATATCAAAAGTTTTATACACATTTACTTCAATCTTATTGCCTCTACACATCTAAAGACTGCCTATAACCATAGTAATATTCAGATGTATTTTTGTTTTTCCCAAAACTTTATTCAAAAGCTTATTTCTTGTAATCATATAAAGACTAACTTTAACACCAGTATTTTTTATTATTATTTCTATTCTTCTTCTTAATATTATTCCTTTTGTCGCTATTATTATTATTATTATTATTATTATTATTATTATTTACCTTTGCTTTTGTGGTGCGGGCTACGCCCGAGTGTTCCAGTGTTATATTTTCGTATTAGGAGAAGCAAAACAGATGAGGCCCCATGCCATTAGAGAGACAACAGTATGTAACTGTGGTCATTGCATGCAGAGAAATCTATGCAATATGTGAGATTGGGCCACGAGTGTTATTTTTTAAGGTAAGTTAGGGCTTTCAGGAATTTGTTTATTCTATTTGTCTACCCCTTAGGATATAATTCCCTAGAACTACAAGTAAGGTTGTCTTGAAAGGCCACTACGAAGTCATATTATTATTAATAATATTATTATTATTATTATTTTATTTCCTTTCATTACTGATGTGTACACATTTCTTTCCGGGTCCCGCCCAGAGGCCTAAAGTTAGAAATGGTATCATGACATTTTTCACTGACCAATTAGAAAACACACGCACATATTTTACATAGATAAAGCCCTTTGTAAGGTGTGGGCTGTACTCGTGAAAACAATTTTGTATTACTTTAAGGAATGGACTTCCACGAATCCCTTCAATGAGTCTACTAGAATCTTTTCCAAACAATCCGAGGGCTCCGACTACATCAGGGATTGTTGATATTTCCATGTGCCACACTGATTTCAGTCGTAAACTCATTTCTTTCCAGATCCCAACCATAGACCTAAGGACAGAAATGGTATCGTAATATTTTCCACTAAACAAAAAATAAAATAAAATAAAAAAGCATATTATTATTGTTGCTGTTGTTGTTGTTGTTATTATTATTATTATTGTTGTTGTTGTATATAAATGTATGTTTCTTTTACAGGCCTTACTCAAAAGTTTATTGCATGTATGATCTAAAGACGATCTATAACTCGTTATTATTATTATTATTATTATTATTATTATTATTATTTCCTTTGATTCCAACTGTATATATGTTTATCACAAAATCTTCATTTAGGTCTAACACAACTTTTCAGTTTGTTTGCTTGGTAATTTCTAGTTAGCAAGCATTGGTCCTGTGCACAAGGATAAAGCCTTCGGTTTCAACTTTTAACCCTGGACAACGTAGCCACTGATGGGTACGGAGTTCGTCTATATCAACTTGTTTGGTACGGGCAAAATATTGAACGTGAAGATTTTTATCCTTCTATCGTTTCTGGTCAATTGCATGTGCCTTTGCATTTTTTTTATGTTTTTGACGCTGAAGAAGGTTTATGTTTACATGCATTTCTTCTCTCACTTGAAATTCCATTTTTAACTTTTTGGCTAACTTTCTTTTTTGATACAGATCATCATCCAGTCTTCTTTAGTTTTCAGGTATCTTTGAAGGACGATGGTTGTAGTTTTGTAAGACATTTCTAGTTGATCTTCGGATCTGGGCACATACAGACCATCAAGATCATCCTTGGAATGTTGCATGCGATGACAAGTGAGAAGCTTCCTCGTTTTGGCGTTTATTCGCTTAATGTCAGCTATAGTCCAGTTAAAGATGTTGAAGCTCTATTGCACCACAAGTACAACCAAGTTGTTTATGGCTGATATTCTGTTTTGAAGTCAACTCGGTATTCAATATCAGACGCACATGTCTGTATTATTCTTTTCTTACTTTCTCTCTCATTTGGGTATGCTCGATTCCATGTCCTTCGCTTATTTCTAGATATCTATAGGCTTCTTCTTGAATGTCGAATAGGTAAATAATTACTTTCTTATTTATTTGGCATCTATTATTATTATTATTATTATTATTATTATTATTATTATATGAGGGTGTATCAAACGTATTTTCGTTTTCTTTTCAGACCTTAATTCCAAAGTAAGTTTTTTAAGTTTTTCTAAGTTGTATTACTAAGAAGTAAGAGGGATCAGAAACTGTTTGTAATGATTATT